TCCAGTCTGTTTTTAAACACATCCAGGGATGGTGACTCCAGCACGTCAGAAAGGCTCCTTTGGTACAGAATCAAACTTCCTGCTGCAGCAAGGGGAGACTTGGCCATGTTTCATTTGATTTCTCTTTCTGGCTCCCTCCTTTCTGGGCTGCTGAGTGACACCTGCCATCTAATACCCACAGCCATGGGAGGTGAGCAGGTTAAACCTCATTTTTCTGCCTGCTGTTTAGCCAAGGTTAGAGGTTCAGAACTGCTGATCTGCTCACATCCCACGTCCCTCTCCAGAGCAGCACACAGAGATTGGTGTTGTGTGCCCAAAGGCCATTCAGCTCAAGACCTTGCTGACATCAGGAGCGTTGCAAATCAGGGCTGGAAGCTGCCTGCAGGCAGGAGTTGCTTTGCCAGGATCTAAATTAGGCCATGTGAGAGTGGCTGGCCCACAAGAACAGCCCGTGGCAGGGTTCTGGTTGTGTTTATTGCTCAAAAACCCTCCTGTCACAGCAGGCACTGAGCCTGTCCCTCGTGTGCAGGGGAACAGCCCCGTGTGGGGAAGTGATGGAAATATTCCTGGTGCCCCAGAGGCTGTGGATCAGTGTCAGAGGGGCTGTAAGGCTGTGGTTGAAGGAGCTCTGCTCTCACCATGAGACAGGATCAGGGCAGGATCCCATCCGTGCAGGACTCCCTGGGACAGCCCATGGGCCCCAGGGCAGGATGGAGCTGGGGGGCTCAGCCATGACCCCATTTCCCTCAAGAGCTGAGCACTCATGTTCCTGCTGATTCCTGTCCTAGGGACACTGAGTCCCATATCCTGCCCTTCACTGACACCCTGCCCTCACACAGGACCCCATCAGAAAGCTCTGAAGGTGCTCTCAGCCCTCAAACTTCTCTTTAGGATCACTGGTGCTGACATTATTCCAGCCTCTTCATCTTCCCATGGCCGTGCTGGGAACGCCCAGCAGATCTTGCAGAGTTGTTTTCTCTTACAAGAGATCTCTGCCTGGCTTTTGTGAAGCCCCACCTGCAGTGCTGGGTCCAACTCTGGTGCCCCAAACACAGCTGGAACAAGTCCAGAGGAGGCCACTGAGTTGATCAGAGGGCTGGGGCACCTCTGCTGGGGAGAGAGGTAGAGAGAGCTGGGGTTGTTCAGCCTGGAGGAGAGAAGACTCCAGGGAGCCCTTCCAGTACCTAAAGGGACTCCAAGAGAGCTGGAGAGGGACTTGGGACAAGGGATGGAGGGACAGGACAAGGGGAATGGTTTCAAATTGAAGAAGGGTTGATCTACACTGGATATTGGGAAGAAATTCTTGGCTGTGAGGGTGGGCAGGCCCTGGCACAGGGTGCCCAGAGCAGCTGTGGCTGCCCCTGGATCCCTGGCAGTGCCCAAGGCCAGGTTGGACATTGGGGCTTGGAGCAGCCTGGGACAGTGGGAGGTGTCCCTGCCATGGCAGGGGTGGAATGGATGGGGTTTGTGATCCCTTCCAGCCCAAACCATTCTGTGATTCTCTCCATAAAGCTTCTTGTTACTTGGGATGAGGCAAGAGCAGCCCCAAACAATTGTGGACACCAGGCCCTGGGTCATGGAGCAGCTCACAGCTGGTTTTGCACTCAGATGTTGGTGTGGAGAGAGCAGGAGGGAACATTGCTGAGCAGGTGTGGATCCATGCAAGGATTAATGCCAGTGGTCAGGGAAGATTATTCCATTCTTATCTACTGTCATTCATCATCTTGAACTCCACAAAATGTCCTGGAGAGCAAAGGAGGGGAGAACCTTCACCCCAAGTAACATCTTCATCCTTCCTTTGCTCATTTCAATCAATAGCAATTAGCATTTTCTAAATTGCTGGAGGATTATGAAACATCTCTTATCAGAAATCCTGAAGCGAGTGGGTGGGGTCCCTTTTACACCTCATTTCCCTGCTTTATACTGAAGAGATGTTCAAATTTAGCTTTCAGCTGAAGGCTACAAAGAAGGCCCTTTATTCTGTGTAAGGATATTGTTCTGCTTTGTAGCTGAAGAAGAATTGACAACTGAAGAGAGGCCGAATGAGAGTGAACTGAGTTGTTCTGGGGATGTTTCCTAAAATGAGAAAGGTGTTCTGCACGTATTTGAAGCAGTTCTTCATCACAATGCTGATAAAGGGAGCTTAGAGTGCTGCCTAATCCAGGGGAAAACAGGTTTTGAGATGTTCTTGATTATCACATGCACTTGGTCAACGTCTTGCACCCTTTAGAGTAATGAATTTCCCTTTTCTGCACAGACCTTGAGCTCTGTTGTGCTCTCAGAGGATTAAAGGTCTAACATGGCATTTTTTAAAGATAAAGATTGGACAGGGCTTGGAGCAAACTGGGATAGTGGAAAATGTCCCTGCCCATGGTAGAGGGGCTGGAAAAACATGGACTTTAAGGTCCCTTCCAGCAGAGAATTCTGTGATTCTGTGGTTCCCTCCCCATCTTTGTGGTGAGGGATGTTGAGCAGATGCAGGTGATGGGGGCATTGAGTGGGTACACGTGTCCTTGCCTCCCTGTGTGTGTTCCTGTGCAAAGCCACTCAGAGCTGGGAACAGCAAATATTAAGTCACAAAATATTTGCTACAGTTTGCCAATAAATCTGCAATGCAAAGCCACTGACTTTGAAAACTAGCACGTGTGTGTGTGTGATGCAAAAATGAACTGGAGGAGAATTTGATCGGCCTTTTGTCCCAGGTAACAATGGGGCAATGACAACAAGCGTCAGCAGGAGAGGTTCAGGTTGGAGGTTAGGAAAAATTCCTAAAGTGGGAGGTTGGTTAAGCTCTGGAACAGGCTGCCCAGGGAAATAGTGGAGACACATCCCTGTAACTGTTCAAGCAATATGGTTCACAATTAATTGGGCATAGGAGTATTTGGTTGAAGGTTGAACTTGATGATTTGTGAGTGTTTCCCAGCCTTGGCCTCTGATTCTGTGATTCAGCCCTGTCCAGATTCTGGTGTGTTGGGGTTCCCTGGGCATCTCTGAGGCTGAGGGCAGCTGTCCTGTGTTGCAGGACACCCTGGAGATGTGCAGCCAGGAGAAGGAGTTCAGGAGCATCCTCTTTGCCCTCTGCTATTTCCACGCGGTGGTGGCGGAGCGGCGCAAGTTCGGCCCCCAGGGCTGGAACCGCCCGTACCCCTTCAGCACCGGGGACCTCACCATCTCTGTCAGCGTGCTCCACAACTACCTGCAGGCCAGCTCCAAGGTGGGGACACCACAGCCTGGTGGTCAGGGTGGCCTGAAGCTGTCCTGAAATGCCATTTTCTTGGTGCCTTTGTGTCGTGTCCCTGGGGGATTCTCCTGTTTGTGACAACCTTACCAGCTAAGCTGGGCAATAGCACGGCTGTCAATAATAAAGGGACAGGTGCAATGGTCTGCCAGGATATCCTTCAGTCCACGAGGTCCACGAAGCAATTTCCAAAGGTGATGTTATCCAAGGATAGGCAGGAACCAAAGACCAGGGTCAGGGGATTGGGTTCCTAATACATAGAGAATACCTGAGGGCAAAGGTCCAATCCCAAAGGACTTGACCTTTTATGGCAAAGGTCTCAGACCAACCGAGAATCAGGCCTAGGAATAAGATTTACTCTGCAATGTGCTAATTAACATCTTCACAGTGCTGAGTTTGCCAGGGTCTCAGGTTTATGTCTCCAATATCTGTTGATTTGATTACCACACCTTTGGGTTTAGAACTTCACAGTTTGGGGTGCTTTTGGGAGGAGATGGGAGACCTCAGTGCCATTCTCTCAGTGGGGAGCAGCACTGTGCTGTGCTCCAGCTTTCGTGGGGCAGGATTTAACTCCCACCTGATGTTTGTTTGCTGAGGTGGGAACCCTGAGGGTGCAGGGCAGTGCTTGGGTTCAGCTCACCCTGCTCCACACCCAGGTCCCCTACGATGACCTGCGCTACCTCGTGGGTGAGATCATGTATGGAGGTCACATCACGGATGACTGGGACAGGCGGCTCTGCAGAACCTACCTGGAAGAGTTTATTAAGCCAGAAATGCTGGAGGGAGAGCTCTGCCTTGCTCCTGGATTTCCCCTCCCAGGGAACATGGATTATAATGGCTATCACCAGGTAAGCTCTTTGTTTGCTGGCATTATTTATTCATGTAAATGGAATGTCTTCTGTAACTACCCCATAATCTGCCTTAGGAGGCAGGAGCAGGGCTGCAGTGTTCCTGCACTGTTCCTCTTATTTCCCATTGTGTTGTGTTCCTGTGGATGTTTCAGCATTCCCCAGGAAGAACCAAGTCTAATGGTAATTTGCTACTTCATCATGGGCTCATTCTGTTCATGCATGAATAGAGCAACTGTATTGGTGCTTGAGACTTAAGTGGGGCTCCTGGAAAATTACATCCACATACTGTTTGCTAAAATGGCCCTTTCCAGCTCCTTTTATCATCAGTTTTGATGAGAATCACTGAAGGGTCTTGTTGATCTACTTACTGATCTCATCTGTTCTTTGTACACA